GCCCGGCCCGATCCACGAAACCCAAGCGCAATCACCAAAATCCATACCCATTACTGTACGGTGAAGCCAAGCGCGAGCTGCTGACGGTCAAGGCAGAGTTCATAAAAGAAACGAAGATCGTGAACGAATTCGGGAGCAGATGAAGCAGCCGGACAGCTTCCGAGCTTATCAAAGACACATGGCAGTCGCCAAGATGATCAAAGAGTACAACATGAAGGAATGCGCGACCAATTGCGCTGAGTTTCCTTGGTTCCTCTTCGCCGATGAAGCTGACAAACTCATGGTCGCGCGTTGCTTCATGTTGTGCTCTTTGATCATTTTGGTGACTTCCATCTGTCTCTCATAAGCTCGGAGTACAGCTGTCTTGCGCCATCTCTGATGGTTGTCGTCATGTCTTTGAGGACCCGGCCACGAGGCTTGACCAGGCCCTGAGAGGTATAGGGGTATTGACATTAGATACCGGCATTGTTGTTGTTGCTTGGAGTTGTTGTTATTGCCTGAAGAGGACCGCAATTTAGGTACGTTTGAAAAGAAAACTGTGTGATAAAGTCACGTGTGTGGCCTGATCTTGGGATCCCCTGTCATTGAAGTATCCTCCTGCTACGGCGACAGCAAGAGCTCTCACACACCCAAACCCTGAAGTGAAAAGACCGTGGGTCTGCATACAGGCCTTCCCCTATAGAATAGGTCTCGCTACTCTCTCATGTTTCTTGCTCTCATCGAGCACACGACCATCAAATTTCGATTCAGCTCGAGGATGCATAAAGAGAGGAGACATCGCCAAATGACCCAAGTTGTAAAAAATAAAAATAAAAAAGTAGCTGCTATACCTGGCGCGCATTACCCAGGGAGAACCTGGCCCGGACAGCTTGGTATCTTACCCTGAAAGATGTATTGACATCATGATACATGTGCGTTGAGGGTAGGATCTGTCCCAAGTACTTTCCCAATTGCATCTACATTGCATGTTCCCGTAAATTCTAAGATGTGGCCTATGATTAGGTATTTTAATGTCTCTTATGTAACATTTCGGTCATATTATCCCATGACGCGCCATGCTTTCTCTCATCTATAGATGTTTTCTCTAACCCGTGGAGATGAGACACTTCAAGTTATGAGAGGCCCTGTTATGTTCCCTACGGGTACAAGGGAAACTTACATTAGTTTCTTCAAGAGACCCTTCCGCTCCACCATCCATGTAATTAGACTGGGAACAATTGTGCTCCAAAAGCCAACGTTTTCCCGATAGGTCTCTGGTGGTGTTCCTACTCATAGGGGGGTTGGAGACAGGAGTTTCTGGGCGGACACAGAATGATAACCAGTCGAGCGTCATGTCAAAAGTCAAGGGGTTTCTCCACGCTTGCCTCCTTCTCGGCTATGGCCTCCCACAGGTATGTAAAGGAATGAGAACGGCACCTCGTCTTAACTTCGTCAGTCACCAAGGATGGTCTGACCGCGTTCTGAGCATGTTTGCGGGCTACTGCTGACCTTTCACACTGGCCTTTTTCGCCCGGAAGGTCACCCAGGTCAAATCATCCTTATACCATCTTAGGGACGAGCTATATATTCAATCCGATGTTGGAGATCTTCTACCATTACCATTTTCGAACAACGGAGAGTTTAGACCTGTATCTAAACTGATTAAACGTCCCAGCCTGCCAGCCACTCGAGATGACAGACAGGCCGCCACAGGTAATGTGGCCTTGCCTTAACCCAGTCTCAAGAAGCATGCTCCAGACAACGTCGCCAACTTCCATACCGCTCTTTCAAACCCCTTATTTGCCTGCACCCGTTTTAGCTCCCCTCTTCAAACCAGGCGCCCGTGTAGATAGTTTCAGAGAGAAGCCTTCAATTTAGAAGAACAAATTTCACTGAACCATGCGTAACGAGAGGCGCACGAAAGCCCCGAGTGGTTGTTTGCCAGCATAAGGAATTGGCATTCCCTGCCTTCTGCTCTCCTTTCTCGAGAGGAAGTGGAGGAAAAACAAGGTTTAACAGGTATAGCCTTCATTTGAGAGATCGTATAGGCTTCGTTTGAGAGACGTCTAGCCGGAAATCATACTGTTTATCAGATCTTGACAGCACAGGGCTCGTTGCTCTGGCTTTGCTATGTGCAAACAAAGTATTCGAGCAGCGGATATAGGAGCCCCGGAAGACTATCAACCTCAGAACCTCCAACGAGCCATTCTCTTATCTGTGAATGATTCGCTGATGATCATTCATACCGAAAATGACGAATTTGTATCAGAGGGCAAAACACAGCCACCAGCCTGCTTCCTGAAGAGCAACCCAGTGGTTGAGAAACCCCCATTTTCTCCATCATCTCAAGATGCCCCTAAATCCATCAACACTTCCATCCATCACCAGGAGAGCTCCAGTCTTGCGTCCCAATCCCGAAATCGGTTGGCCAAAGCCTCAAAAAGCCTCGACTTCACCGGGAATGCAATCACGGCCCTGGTTGGTCGAGACAAAGCGGATCAACCCACACACACCACCATCAGTCAATCGTAATCCCTGCTCCCATAATCCAATGAAAACCCCTGTTGGAATGAGCCAATCATACCGGGCATTTTCACCGAATTGTGCAAATGGAGTCGTCTGGTAGATCGTGTAAGTCGAGCGGCCAGTCTAAGGGCCCATATGGGATGTCGAGTTATAATTCTCTTGCGTCAAAGCCACGTCTTTTGATCCGTTTGAATATTGCACCAAGATCCCTTGGGAATATTGGGCATCTTCACCTTATCGACAAAGACATTGGACGCAGAAAGCTGCAGGCTTTGATTCGGGCAGCCAAGGTTTCACCAGATCCCCGTGACTTAGACACGGATATATCAACATGGATTTCGCCAGGGACTTGTCCCAAATCGGTCAAGAAAACTCTCGTGTTCACTCCTCTCCTGACCTGGATGAGCTATTCCACTCTTATTTTGACTGGCAGGCTTACCTCAACGACACTGAACCCTCCCCCAGGGCCTCCCCACAGAGTCTCAACAAGCTCATCACGGAGATCTCTCCGCTTATTGACAGCCTTGAAACCCACAGGTTTTTCAGGATGAAGACTTCGTTCGGCCCTGATGAAGAGGCAGTGACTGCGTCTGATTATTCGGGCCATCCCTCCCCACCAGAACTTGTTCAGGGGGAGGGCAGCACATCTCCTTCTGATCACTCTGGTCCCATCCTTCCTGACAGGATTGAGGAAGCATACCACCGTCCGGGTGCTAGCCTCAAGGAGTTCAGGGCCCAGGATGATAAGTGGACATACCCTCAGACAGAACATCCCCAGCCTGCACTTGTAGCCTATTCGCCCAACCTGCGCGTCGCCGAGGACGGTACTGTGAGACAGGCCGGGCACAGCCTCGGGCTCAAGCGTAGACGTTCCGATCAAGCTCCTGAGAGGAGACCACGACAGCTCGCACGCCCTGAACAGGTGGCCGACGTCCGGAAGAGTGGAGCCTGCCTCCCATGCAGAGTGTCCAAGACCCGTGTAAGGCAGCCAACCATAACGTTGTTCCCCAACCAGGAAGCTAAGACAGTCTCAGTGTCACGAGCATGGCGTTTGCCCCACGTGCAGAAAAGCCTTCCCGAAGCATTCCCACCTGGTTTGTACCCGTATGAACCTTGCTGAGGCATGGCCCGTTATTAGCAAGATCCCTGGTACGTGTCGCCGTAACCCTCTCCGAGATAAGATAGTGGATTCTCATCTCACCTCGTATGTTGCACTATTGTTTCTAACAAACCATGGCCTGTGTGTTCAGATGTCTGGTCCAAGAATCCCGGAAAGGAAGAACACTTCACAGCAAGCCCTCATCTCTTCACCGGGAAACCGAGAGACATACAAATATTCTTCTCGCGAGATCACTACTCGCCGATGCTGTTGGCTTCTGTCCAAGCCTATCGGTGGAGCAATGAGAAGGAAGATGGGAGACCCGAGAAAGCTGCGTTCGCCCGCCATGCCATGCCTACACATGAAGACCTGGTCTGGTGGGTCGAGAAACAGGTCGGATATGAAGACACACCAGGCTTCCCCCACTCAGTCCACAGATTCCTCATTGCCTATTCTAGGAGAGGAACTGGGCTCCCAATGGTACGTACTATGGTGTATCATATCGCACTCCATTGACCAGAAAGCTGGGTCGTAACTAACAGCGTCACAGCATGGCCTAGTGACAAGGGTCAATAGGATGGCCTGCTTCTTCCGAATCTGGAAGTCATCGTCATTCTTATGCCGTGACCCATCTGGGAAGATTGCCAACCTTCCGCTATCGGTCCAGGCTGAGCTTCGCACAATTGCGCGAAATGCGTTGCATCGCATTGAACATGATATTCTCAAAGACCTCGACGAGTGTGTCACACCAAGCCGAGCCCCCAAACCGGACGACAAGATGGCGTTGTGGGCAGCTCTGTGGCAGCTCATGTTCATGTATCGTGAACTCACTTGGTCGGTGACAACGATGATGGCACGCCATGGCCAAGGATTGGCAGACCCTCAAAATCGTAAGTGTTTTCCAGCCGTTGGCTTTGCTAATTGGAATATATGCTAATATGGAGCGGGCGTGTAGCACACAGATCCCCAATTGAGAATTTCTTCGGGGTCCTGGCAATCTTCTACCACTACCACTTTCGAAACAAGAAGAGTTTGGAAGTGTCATTGGACTGGCTGAAGGCTCCGGGGTACCCAACTCATCTCTGCCAAGCAAAACAAGTTCTGGGCCCTTTGACAAAGGCAATGCTCGACGATAGAAAACCGTTTTGTGAGTTCGATGTCCAATGGTGATTTGATTTGATGTCCATTTCTAACAAGGGCCAGTACAAAAACTTCAAACTTCCGAGCTTGCAGTTGACCAACTGCTATGCATCTTTGTGGCAAACCATGAGCTAAAGAAGCTCAACACGCGGTCGCGTGCCACAAAGTCGTCCCAGTCCAAGGCAGCAACCTTGATTGATGACTGCGAGGGCGATGCCGAATAGACTGAGCTCGGCTTGGTCAAGCGATCTCGTTACTATTGTGTGAGGGGAAGTATATTGACAGCAGTTTTCTTTTTGGGTTTCTTGTCTCCGATCTTGAGTATTGATTTAAACCGGGAGGAGAGTTCCTCCGCATCAACGGAGCGGAGGATCTGGGGTTGAACGCTGATCGACAGTTGGATACTGTCCTTCTCATCTGGCACCTTGAGAAGGCGTGCATCAAATCTGTTCCCATGTCAGAATGAAATAATGATTATAATGAACTTGAATAGGATAGGCTATTGCGAATTTGACTTACTGTATGGATTTTTGCAAAATCTCAACGTTACTTGGACGCACAGGGAGGATTGTAACTAATGCGTTGGCAACCGCACCAATGTACAAGGCCCAGAATATGGCTTCCTTGCTGTACCTCTTTAGGATGCCTCCGAGTAGATCTGCCAGCTGTGCATCGACAGGCCCCATGCTTGATCCCCATCTAGCTGCAATAGTTGTGCCCAAGAGTGCCCTAGCCAGATGGCTCAGACCAGGAGCGTCAGCATCACGGCAAATGGCATAATGAAGAGAAAAAGAAGCATTGGAGTCAGCCTCGTAGCCTGCCCGGGTCCAAATCTCCTTGACAAAAAGTGACCGAAGTCCGTCAATATTGAGAACTGTAGGGACTTGATCAAGCTGTGCTTCGGGTGGTATGGCCTTTGCGAGGAGGCTCGCCACTGCCCCGAACAGAGGCTTGTCGCCAGGATCCACGTCCGCTATCACATCCAGGGGATTGCTTTCGCGAATCGCTCGCGGGAGTTTCATCATCAAAGCACCATCACGGTTTGATCCTTTACAAAAGGTGACACGCCTTACATTTGGCACGGCTGTTGTGAAGGCCTCCATGACAGCCGAGATGGCATCAAACTGCTGCCGGCGTCTCTTTGACAGCCCGGAGATTTTCCCATCGTAGGTGTCATTGATGCGACGCATCTCAGTGACCTTCTTGAACGAGGCTCCGGTCACAGTGTAACTACCAATCGAGGTAATAGGGTAGGGAGATATCTCGTCGTTGTGCATGAGCATGCTGCCGTACCCTCGGCAGCCACCACCGCACATGTACACATTGACTTTGGCATCTTCGCCCCTTTCATAAGACTCTCTAATGTTCTGTAGCTTGGGAAACAGAGAGCACAGATTGTCGAACGCAGCTTGCATAGAGACCTTGAGCTTGTCTGACTCTGTAGTCTGGACGCCCACGTCGCCCTCTTGGAATACGCGGGTGAGCTTTGCAGCTCCAAATGGCATGCTGTTGCCGGCCCGGGCAGCAAGGATTTCATAATCATCGAGCGAGGTGTCGACCCAGGTGATCTGAACACTGCCACCGCCAAGGTCCAAGAACAAGGCGCCATCACTAACATCAGTCAGGCTGCTTCTTGAGCCCATGACGGCCCCGAAGAGAGTTTCCACCGAAGGCTCCAGAATCTGTACCCTGAGCCCACCCGTAGCCTCAGCAATGGCGGTGAGCATGGCAGCAGAGTTGGCAGCACGACGCATAGCCTCGGTGGCGAAGACCATGACATGCGACGGTGGGACATGGTGGAGGTCTGCCAGCTCCTTGAACTGCGCCAGCGTTGACGAGACTGACGATATGGTGGACTGAGAAAACACTAGTTCGCCTGTACTGGAGGGCTCCAGGGCATCGAATAAGGATATCCCAGCACGAGAAGAATATATGGGGGCGAGTAACCGCGTCTTAGGCGGTGCTAGTGATGTTATAGAAAATCGAATGCCATTGCTGAGGACGGTCAGCACTGCCGTGACATGGCATGGCACAAAGATGAGGGAACCACGCAACTCTTGGTCAGATGTACTGACCTGCCCATGTCTACAACGGCATACAGGTGATTTTCATCATCCGGGCTCCATTTTGGTATCGCCTCGGCGAGATTGTCCAGCGTGACGATATCTGAGGGGCTCATGATTTCACTTGGAAGATGAGGGTTTGATCGATCTCTGGGGCCTGCCAAGTAGTGTATCTCCTATCTACGTATCCTGGGCGGTCTGAGCAGGGGAATGGTTGGGCCGCAACTCTTTCTCCGAATCATGCGCTGGACAGGCTTGGCAATATTGGATGCTGAGTGGATGAGATGAAGTGGCTGCTTGAATGTTGAGTTGATCTCGCTTGGATGTAGGTTTGACTGTACGTCAATATCTATTGCTCCAGCTTCCTGCAAGGTGAGTTGTGGTGGCAGGTGGGGCCGTTTCTGTGTGCTGGTTAGGTCAAGACGGCCTAACCAGCTGCAGGTACTGAGAAATGACCCGCTAGCTACTTGTATGTAGCGCAGGATAGCCGATATGAACAAGTAGCTCTTTTGTACATTTTTGGTACAGCCCATTCGAGTTTGCCGCAGATATACTCCTACCCTACACGGGAATTACCAATCCTAGGAGACTGAGGCGGCCGATGGTTTCAAATGTGACTGTCAAGAAATATTCCCAACGTTGGTTAATTTTTCCTTTTTCTAGTTGGCTGCAAGGAAATTAACTCCTATGAATCGGTGATCTCTTGGGATAGTAGGTGATAGGCAAACTCTTTGTTGCACTATGATGCAAGACAATTGAAAAACGACAAGGCCGCTGGGAATGTGGCAACGTCGGCAGCAGGACGTAGATGCACAAAGGCGGGTTGGAAAATAGTAAGATTTCCGTTATTGTCACATCACGGACCACACATCCCCGGGTATCTTACTCCCATTGAGTCCGAGCATCACGCTGGCTGCGCCCCAAGATGCGCTGGTTGCTTTCCCGTACTACTACGCTCACGGAGGAACTCGGCTGGACGGCATGCCGAGCGACTGTCTCACTGACAGCAAATAGACGCATGTCAGCAGCAGCATCAGTAACATCGAAGTAGCGAAACAGGGAGGCATGAGTTCCCAGAGGAGCTATAAACAGATGCAATCCCACGTCGTGGGGGTTCGCAATGACAGCGCGAGCTGGCACCCTCCCAACAGAACATTGCTACTACACTATGGTAGGCTGTGAGGTATTGCGATGCTATGTAATGAGGCAATGGGGTTGGGAGCATCGAGTGCGTATTGCATTTTTCTTGCTTCGAGAACGCAATCCACCCCAACCATGCACGTGTCTGTGTACAGTATAGGACCTACGTATGCCGCATGTCTCCCAGTTTCGACTGCAACGCGACGAGACATTGTGAGTGGTCGAGAAAGCGCCACTCGAAAATGAGACGTATGCATAGGAAGCGGGCCGAGCGAATGAGAACCGAACCCAACAATGTCGACCTCTAGTAGGTGGACAAATCTTGCCTTGACAAGTGTAAAGGAGAGAGAATCGCGAGGCTTCGGAGCGAGTGGGTGGTGCGGACCTATCTGGTTGTCACGTTGGCAGCTCCGTTCTTTCAGGAGTATCGTCGAGCTCCCTCCCAGACTATGGGCAGCTTTGCTGCTTCGCGTCAAAGGGGGCCTTGTCATTTCATCCTGGACTGACCCATCGCAGAGGGTCGCTACGATGGCAGAGATGGGCCAAGGGTCTGGAGCACGGTAGTAAAAGCCCGGCTAGTCCCAGCGGCAGCACCCTGGCGGCGCTGGCGCCAGGCCCCGTGCCAGGGTCTTGGGCTTTGGATCGACAGGAGCTCTCGCCTTGAGGCTTGAGCCAAGGCAAATAGTACCTGCTCGTGGCGGACCGGCACTGTCTGCAAGGGATTGGAAAAGGAGGGAAGAGAGCACGAGAGGATAAGGGTGCCCGCCTCGTTTGGATTGGTACCGAGTGAGCTAAAATGCGAGAGTGTGATGGCGACCGGGGCGAGCCTGGGTATTCATCCAGCCTGGGGAGGGGGGGCTACCTGCCTACGGTTTGAAACAAGCCGGTGGCATGTCAAGTTTTTACGATTTGGTCTATCGCGATCCTCAATACAAGGTGTAAAAGGAGGGGCATGCCTGTCGTGTCTCCTTTTTTGATGGGTAGCATACGTGGGAAAGAAGCTGGAAGGCACATTTGGATGAATCGATAGTATCTACAATACGTGGTATAGCAGTGGATGATGAGAGGGTTCGTTGCGGAGAGGCCTTCTGTTCACCTCGGAGGAATCTGCACTAGGCTGTCGTACGCCTCTAAACTTCCCACCCATTCGTCCTGCCCAAAGATGTAGCAAGAGACTGTTGCTTCATGGTGATAAGCTGGCCTCGCGTACAACGTGCCCCGGCAAGGCCTGGCCCATCAGGCTCAATCCTGAGGGCCCTTTGCCTCCGAGATAGGTAGGTCTCGATCCCATCTCGGCCAGCTGGAGTTCGGTGCGTCATATCTCATGTTGAACAGCCGCTGGGGCAAACTCTCGGGCTGTAATTGGACAAAAAGCCACTTAAACCCACCAGTCTCCACTTCCTAAAACGCGTTCTCACGCGTCATGATCGTGTGCCGCAAAACGCGTCACTCAGACAACCTCCCAGCAGCAGCGGTCGTTCAGCAAAGCCATCCTGATGCCATTGGCTCCTTGGATGATGAAGCCGAAGTTAAACGAGCGTCGCTTTCCCCTAGGAATCGCACAATTTGGGCGAAACACACCTCTATGCGCCGAGCTGGGCTGGGACTGGGATATCCCCCTTTCGTCTGATCTTGATATCACTCATGTCGGTCTCAGCACATCGGCCGCTGAGCGTGAGACAGAAAGACAACAAAGACTTGACAATGCGAAATATCACATGGAAAATAGAATGTTTCTTTGTTTTGTTTATTTTGCCATGTTTGTTTGTTTGTTTGTTTTGTACGGAAGAATCCTCGTCATTTGTTGGGGGCCACTGTGCAGCAGCAGGGCCTATTACCCTATGAACCATTCAGCCATTCCACTTTTGTAGAGCGCCCAGCTGCGGAGAACAGATCACACGGGCGTCAGATGTTAAACCTACCTGCTAATGTAGGTCTGTATGTGCATATGGGCGTGCATCCTGCGCAAGCCGGGGGCATGCATCGCACTGCTACCTACCTCAGAAACGATTCTCAGCTTTGCATCAACTCCACCAGCCTCGTTGACCAACAATTCGACGCATCACCATCCGGGTCTGGCCAAGAATAGCGATTCTTACACAGCTGTCCTCCCCATTGGGCTAGATCATGGATGGTGTGTCCTTGGGTAGGTCCGAGATAGGCGACCGGGAGGCAGAGACAGAGGTAGATGCAGATGGGTGATGTGATGTGATGTGATGCACTCTGGTTCATCTGGCGGCGCGGCAAACGCTCTCACCCCGCCCATGCACACCTGCGGCCTCAAAATCTACCCAATGCCGTCGTCGAATCGCGTCTAATGCTGTGATTCTTGCCCGATGGTGTCCAGCCCACCTGCAGTAGCACCAACGACATCGTGTCAGCCAAACGCTGGCTTAAGCCATTCTGTCCATCCCCCGTTCATGGTCCCGTTTGGTTCAGCAGCCCCAAACTCAAATTGAAGCCAACCTCTTCACCGCGAGTGTGGCCAATGCCATGCTGGTAGTAATACTCCAAATCAGGGTAGGACAGGAATGGATAGCACGATGGGTCCCAGTTGGTAGTTCTCACATAGGAAACAAGCTCTCTTCCGTCCACCGTCTTTTTCGACCCTCTCGCCTCTCTCCAATGAGCTGTCAGTCCCAGGAAGGCAGGCAAGCGCTGGCCTTGGGCCCCCGACCCGTTGCGCTACTATCACGGGGTGTTTGAGCCTATGCCATGCCTGCTAGCGCCCGTCAGGATTAGCAGTATCAACCTGCTGCGCAAAAAAACTTCGCTATCTTGAAGAGCCCCTACCGCACTCTGGGTACTAAAGCAGTAGCTTCAGACTGTTCTACGCTAACGGCTGCAGCTGTTGGGGGTCGTAGGCCGGGGACCTTGTCGGCCACTTCACACAATGGAGGTCCTCAGCGCAAGTTGAGAGTGGGTCTCTTTGGGTTTCGGGGAGTGGCAGAGGGTTCACGCCACTCGCGCACCGCTGTAGTTCTCTCGTGGCAGGGCGTGTGGGAGCCATGTAGGGGAGTAGGTACCTGCCGCTGGGTCCAGCCGGCCGGTGGCCGTCCAGTGAGGTTGCGCGGTTGTAGCGCATGCCTGTCCTAGGTTAGTACCTACATAGGTAAGGAAGCTACGACCTCCCCAGCTACAGCGGCCTGGCAGGTGAACTCCATCAACGCTTCCAGGTTTGTAGGTTAGGTACCTGCTCCATGCTAGAGGTACTACCCTACGTCTCCACCCACAAGGTGCCTGTGGTGGTACCTCCTCGCCCACCTACTCACCTACAGCAGCTGGGTACCTCCGGCCAGCAGGACAGTACAGTGCCTGACCTACCACCGACAGTTGCTGCTGCCATCGCCGCGCATCAGCCCACCCCCGAACCCATATCCTCGTCGCCTGCCCGTGCTCCTCTTCTATTCTTCATCGCACTCCCCGTCCCATTCCAGTCTCTCCTTTCATCTTCAGCCTCGTCGGAGCACATCCGTCAGGACAAGCCATGTGATCCTTGGGTCGTCGCAATCACCAAGCGAGAATTTTCTAACCTGTTACCTTTGGGAATAAAATTATCCGACTCTTGGACTTAATTCACCTTGCGCCCACCTGCGACGGCTTGCCTGCGTCTTCACCGGTTGCGCCCTCACCAAAACAACAGTGCTGGATTTGACCTCGACCACGCGCTGCCAGTTCTCACCCGTGGCGGACTCGCTATTTCCTTGCCTCGTCTTCAACCGCATCTTAACTTTAATATTCTTTGAACTACTTACGACCGCCGTACCGACTGTCGCTTGCCAAACACCCTGGGCCAATTCTCGTTGCGCCGACCGAAACCTGACCTTGGTGTACGACTCGATCGCGTCGCTTCATGTCACTTGAAGGTTGACCTGTTGAATCATAACAATTGGAGTGGGGTGTGGGATCTGCGCCTTGAGATTTGAGACCAACCTGTACTGCGACGAAGTGTTCTTGCGTCACCGTCCAGTTTGCTTGTCCAAACGCTCCAACTAGTCCTTGTAGGGCTGCCTGTGCTCTCCCTTGAGAACCGCGTCCCGTCCCGGGCCCCATATCCGCCCTTATATATTTTCTTTAACATGTCTCCCTTGCAGCGGCTGCGTGCAACGCGGCCGCGCGTGCTTCGCAGATCGGAAGTACCAAAAACACCCGAACCTTTGGCCCAAGATGAGATGGAGGAGCCTCCCTCACCTCCACGACAGCGATTTCGTCTCAAGAGACGCGTCGGATCGCTGCCCAACACGGAGCCCACGCAGCAATTTCTCGAGCGCGTCGCCGTTGCTGACGTGCCCATCCCAAGCATTGAGGAGCCTGTTGTCTATGACGAGAGCATGGTAGATACTCTTGGCTACGATGGCCACACCTACCCAACTTCAGACGATGGATATCCCTCTGAAGAGGGACACTTTAAGAGAAACTCGCCTCCCAAGACTCCAGCACCCAGCCATACCCCAGCCCTCTCACCTCAACGTCACCACGACTGGTCGGTTGATTCCTTGAGCGGGATTGAGTCGAGTCCCGAATATGAATCCAGCCGACCGTCAACGGCTCGCTCAACCCAGACTAGCGCCTCACTTTTTAGTCAGTTTTCCTTCACATCAGAGGAGCTCAGCGAATGCATTAGCCCCGAACCACAGGTTCAGGACCGGTATGACACGTATTTGAAAGTTGAGGATGCCGAAAAGACTGTTCGGGCTTCAGACCGGATTTCAGTTAGAAGAAGAGCGCCGTGGTCCAGACCTATGAACCAGCATCTATGGAATACTTACTTGGCATATCTCCAAGATCCCAAGGTAACGCCCATTCGTATCAGCAAGAATGGCATGCCACCGCAGGGCGTTCTGCTCCGCGTTTCTAGAGAAGCAAGGAGGACTTGGAAAGGAACAGATCCTAAATCACTACCTCTGGAGGCGAACGGTGGCAGTTCAACACCGGTTGCGAGAATCGCTAACTCTTCCTATTGGCCGCACACTGATGCGGCAACTCGCGCGCATCTGCGGGAGCTATGCAGGGCTAATGCTGGAAACACTACCCGAAATGTCCAGTATCTCGCACAGAGCCCCACGCCGTTCGGGAAAACAGCTGCCCGACGCTGGACCAGGCACAACACCCCGGCTCACTCATCTGTCTTTTCGGGCAACGACATGGCTGTCTCACTTGCTGTTTCCACTGCGGACTCCATGCAGCCCCAAGGACCTCTGGCTGAGCTCACCCGATCGGAACTTGGGCATGAGAGGCTCTCACAAGACCTCCCGCCGCTTTTATCTGCTCCGTTGTTCACACCCACCAAATCTACTGCTAACGAAATCCCTCGTCTTGGCTCTCCTTTTGTTGCCAAGAGTTATGGCCCAAGTTCGTCAAGTACTCTCATGGCTGATTTTGGACTCGAGGACCAACGCCAAAGTCAGACCGTGGGTCATCTATACAACTTAAAGTCCCCGAGCAGGATAAATCGTCCTCGATCTCGATCCAACACACAGAGGCGCCGCTCTAGGCAAACACCAGCGGAAATTCGGCGAACAAAACGGCCAAGTCTGGCTTCTGATATGTGGAGTGAGCCTGGGGCGAGCCCTGTTCGTCCGCCTTCGGAACCGATTTCGCGTAGCCTTGGGAGTGAAATTTCAGTACCCCGAAGCAATATCCAAGAGCTATTCGAGGCATCCCGCTCGATTGGACGCCATATTTCAACTGATGCTCCTGCTCGACTCGGGTCTCCATTTGGCGCCATACCCAGTAGCTTCTCATTTCCTAATAGGCATTCTTCTGGGTTTTCTGGCCTTAACCAAGGCGCATCTTATCGACCATTTGGGAGTGTCCAGCGCCTCTATACGCACCCAGTAGACCAAGAGGACCCAGCCCCGTCCCGGGCGTCTCTTGAGAGCCGATTGACTTATCTGGATGAGAGGCTGAAGGACTTCCGCCACCGCGATCGAGATTGGCATCCTCGCCGGTCTGAATCACCTTTTTAGCAGCCATGACTTAGTATTGCACCTGTTCTTGCATACATCATTTTTACCCTTCTTGCACAAGCATAATTGTTTTTTTATGAATTATGATTATATCCGACCACGAGCTCTTTTTGCAACACATTTGGACAATGCTCCAGGCAACGACTCAATGGCTTTGATCTTCTTGCTCAAAATTTTTATTTTGCTTCACGACACTTCATCAAAAAGTATTTTCTTGCATTTATCCGGTCATCCGGTAGCAATGGCTCTTAGATCCAGACATCTAGCACAAACTTTCCTTTATCTAAGAAAGCAAATCTCGACCATGGCATAACTCTCCCGCATGGAGATATTGCTTTCCAAGGATCTTCATACTGGTTATGCACATATGACATCCGTTCCCCTCTTTTAACGACGACTATACGATTCAGCAATGAGAAAAATTATCTTCGGAACACATGCAACGCAATGCACGCACTCGCCTCACTCTCTTTATTTTATTTTCCCTTTCATTACGCCCTGGGGTCTCTTGTCCAAATGACAAACATGGAACAATGGCAAACATCAAAGATACCACATGACGCACGCACTGCTCCCACCGTGCATCCCTTGAACGAGCTTTTCGCGCCCACATCATTACGATGGAGAATCACAAATTGAAAACATAACAATGGCTCGAAAGACAATGTTGCTTCAACGAATTGCCGTGGCACACGAGTGTGGCTATCTGGAACAGACAAGACGGCCAATTTCATTTTGATCTCGGACTTTCTCTCTCTCTCTCTCTCTCTATGTCTCTTTGCTATTCTTATTATCCTCTTACCATTTGGCATTTCCTTACGAGAGTATGATGTGCTTACTACATACGAACCGAACCATCTCCACTGGCCACACAGCGGCCCCGGGTGTCGAGAGGTTCACGAATTAGCCCGTTTATATGATGAATAATGAACTTACGATAAAAAAATTGCTTCCTTTCAACTACTCATTGTGATCATGAAATAAATCTATACAGGACGAAGAATGAAACGTGAGAGTTGGTGTGAAATTTGTAAATTTGTGAGAATGGTATGCGGCCATTCGGAAGCTGTCCCTCGATGTATTTATTATATAATGTGAGGTTCAGGAAATAGATGCCTGCTAATATGATATCTTCCATATGGGGAGAAATTAAAAAAAAAAGAAGAAGAAAAGAAGGGAGAAAATAGGCCTCATCCCAATCGTAAAACGAAACTCCATCCATGCAATGCTAGCTATGTACGTCATAATAAAACATTTCGCAGCATGTAAGACATTCTTCACCTGAGAGTACTAGAGATTGACCTCATGTGTTTCAGTCCTTGCTCCGGCTCGGCCTCTTCTTCAACACGGAAGAGGGAGCGGGACATTCTATCTTGTGTGGTCCTCCAGTTAGCCGAAAGTAAGCTGGAAGCCTGATCGTCGTCAACCTTGTCGGCTGTGTCGAGTTCAGGAATTTGAGTCTTGGCCCGCAATAGTCTCTTTCTCTCATGAGGGCACCGCTTCTCCCCAACTGTAGCCCGATGAGAGTGGAATGAGCATTCCCGGAAGCCGTTTGCACGCTCTTCGTTGCGAAGCTTATTTGCGGGAATGCGCACTTGTGGGTTTTTGGAGCGAAGTTGCAGGCCTGACACCTGGAGCTTCTGGATATGAATAGTGTAATCCTCACCGAACTCCTTTTGCGAATCGAGCAAGTCATGGAATCGCGCGTGATCGGAAGATTCTGACTCATCGAATCGCGATGATGTGGGAGTTGTTGGTGAAACGGAGGAGTCTGCGTAACTTGATCGGCATGGCGAGCGAGAGAGCGAGTATGCGACCATTGCCACAGCCCAGCGACGGAGACGGACAGCGGGGATGCCCTCGCATTTCGTGTAGAGATATGTGATTAGACCTGGGGTGACGTCCCAGTCGCACTTGAGATAAAGATCCTGGATTGCGTCCATGGCATTGTCCTGGAGAGAGAGTATGTAGAGGTGTGAAGCAAATAGGTGCAGTCGGATGAGTGCCCAGTGAGTCTCCTGAGCATCTTGATGTCCAGCTTCCTGCGCCTTCTTCACAACATCCTCGAGGTAAAATCGGAAGTTGTATCTGTCGTGGAGCCACTCAACAAACATGGCAAACATGGATGGGGACTCTCCCGGGAGCCAGATGGAAACGGAGCGAGGTTGGGCAGGGTCCTCGATGCGGTCCCGGAAGAAGGGTGAGGCAGCGCAGAGAAGCTTCTTATTGACCTTGAAACGCTGCTGCTTGGGACCAATGTACACCGTGGTCATGCCACTGGTCTTTGATGATTGGGCATTACTCGTGATCGCTGTGGCCGTTGCCGAGATGGGGCCTTCCGGCGCATTTCCCAAACCGACCGACTTGGAGTCGTCCACGCTCATGGAAACCTTGTGCTTTGCGGATGCCTTGTCCGCGCGCAGAGAGGTCAGATCGACCGACCAGTGGAATGCGCGGTGAACCAAAGAGGGAGCCATGGCGTTCGGTCTCAAGGTGTGTTCGGTGCGCGTTGGTGCTGGGGGACCAGGTATTCGGGTTCGTACGAGCTGATGATTGCAGAATCGGGCACTGATTCCAAACGGGTGATGTAACTAGGCAAAGCAGATCGAGTTGTTGTTGTTGTTGTTGTTGTTGTATGTTCAGTGCGGCCGCAAGGATGAGGGTCGTCGAAATGAAAACAATATACGGGCTGGTCCGGCCAGGAGAAAGGAAAGTCGGGATTATGAAAAGGAAAGGAAACGGAAGATCCGCGCGGTATTCCCAACAGGAAGAAGAATCAGAAGTGATCGCGTTGACAGAAGTGACAGAGGAGCAAAGGAAAGGAAAGAAAAGAGGTGGAAAAGAGGAAACCCGAGTGAAACAAGGAGGGAGGTTAAGGAATAAAACCGGCTCACCAGCTAAGTAACAACAGAACAGTCAGAAAGGGGAGGAGGGCATCACACCTTGACGTGCAGGACCGGCCCCCAGGCCTGGCATCTAACGTCTGCCCAGGTTGGAAGGCTGCGCTCGCTGCGGTTGGTCAGAGGGCATGCCCACAGGGCGCACCTGCTGCACCAACCAGCCCGTGCCGTGCGTGGCTTCCTTCCTGGGGACTAACACTTCCCCTGCTAATTTGCCCGTTCCTGTCTTAGGGAGGTACCTGCGCAGGCACAGGCTCAGTAGTGTGAGGCACGCCTGCTCCCCTGCCGGTGTGGGGACTGCCCAGACCAGCCTAGACTGGCCGCTCGTCAAATCACCTTGGGAACCTGCCTCAAAATATCCATAGTCGAAACACCGCCCCCTCCGACGAACCATGCACCAGTGCTACGATCGGCTGTGGCAGCGAATCGTCGCCCAGTCCGCCCGCAGTCATGCTACGCTGCTCTGGCACGACCCCTGTCCCACCACGCAGGGGCGCTCTGGTTGGGTGCTCGTCTGTTTCATCATGGGGGGCAGACATCTCAAACGCGTCCTTTTCTTCTCCCGCTGTGACAGAAGGGCCAGCCTCCAATGAGCTTGCAACCCTAGGCGCTCACGCGTCCCCTGAAGCACAATCTCTCGCTGCACTATGTGACTAACACACCAGACTTGAAAGAAGGCATTCTCTTCTGCCCTCGTGCATACGTGAGATATGCGAAGAGCTGCTGCTCCGGTCGCGTCGCAGACAGTCGTACTCGGATCGCATCCATTCCATCACACTGCTCCTTCTCCTCATCTGGGAATCCATGGCTGGCCCTTGCTAGTACGTCTGTAATTGAGCCTTTGGTTGCTCAGGTGGTCGTAGTTCGTCCGCCACAGCGCGGAACTTGGCTCACTGAAATTACTGAGCCGGCCCTGTAATAATCGAATCCTCCTTCGCTTGAGCCGCAAAGGCCACCAGGCACACTGCAAATAGGATGGGGCGGGAGGGGGGGGGGTAGTAACTGACATCATAACCTTAGTAGAAAAAAAGAAAGCAGTCATCAAGCAACGCAAAGCATGGCCATGCCTCGTGGCATTTTTGGTGACCGCTCAGTGCCCAACCGGGGAGGGATCTTCAACGAAGAAGCTCGGTCGTCCCACGCTTACAGCAGACACGACGGTTGCAACTGACTAAGAATGTAGCCCGCCCCATTGTTTCCTCACCATCTTTCCTCTTCCGACTATAATGGGCCTAAAAATAAATTAAAGCTGGATGAAGTGACCAAGGGGCAGACCGATCTTACTGGATCGTTCCGAACGAGCAAAACGAGTTCTGCTGTCCTGGCCCTTGGAGGCACTCTCCCCATTACCAAAAGGTCAAAGGGGAGATCCTAATAATACAAACTCATGCGAAACAACTTCTTGTCAAACATGCATAAAGCATGTGATCCCGGTCGAGGCAGATGATTGATATCAATGCATCTCGCATCCATCTGCTCCGGGTCGGGTCTGCTGTAACCCCCCCAACCTCGAGAGCGCAAGTCCACAAAACAACAAGTGTTTGTTTGCAACGGAGTCGTCATCTACGCACAATTGGATTGTCAAGGTCGAGAAGTTTAACTTGATTTCTGATCATGTTTCATTAAGTGACTAATGTGGACCCCATGACAATGCTTGTCATGCACTGTCTACGATCAAGACTCTGTAGCAACGCGCCTCCCATGCATGATGGCCGCAAATTCGCTGCTTTATGCTCTTAAATTCTGACTCCAAGTTTCCCCCAAACGCCGGTATAGATCTCCCTCAACGCCAAGAATCATGCCTTCCGAAACTCCGTGACAAGCAGGTGCCCTTATTCCTTATGACTTGGACTATCATTTGTCTCAGAGCTGCTGTTGTCAGAGTCCTCATCTTCCCCGGCCTTTTCAGAACTAGGTTCTCCACTGTCTGCATCCTCATCGCTGTCAATTGACATGGGGTCATCTGGTGTTGTCCCGATGGTCGTGCCATTTGCATGTGCCTCACGCGCCGCGCTGAGGCCGTTGGGCTGGCTCGATGTAAGAAACGCTGTCGGGTCTGTTGTTTCTACCGATGCCGCTGACCCCGAAAGACCGCCCATTTCCGAGATGCGCACTCGCTTACGAGGCGTGTCCGCCTGGGAAGATGTCGCTTCTGGCGTCTTTGTCCGTTGGGGAGTTTTGACTGCATTCATTGCATTCATTGCTGCTGTTGTCCCCATTGACCAGATGTTAGGATGATACTTTGCGCCGAATAATCGACGCCGTTCTGCTTCTATCTCCTCGGGAGTTCTGTTCCCACGAAGTCGGATACCGTACTTCTTTCGGGTGGTGCTCTGCCTTGTATTATAGCTATTCTTGAGTCTGGTCATTCGATCCGTTCTCTCGGGTTCCGGCAGATCCAGGGCTTCCTGCAGCCAAGCTCCATATCTCCTCTCTGAATCAGCTATCTCCTCTTCGTATCTCTTTCGACTGTCGGGATTAAGATGTGAAAGGAGTGATGCAGGGCTTGTGTCCATTTGCGTAACAGAATGCTTCAGGGAGGCAGAGCCTGGGGTGTGAGGGACGGCTTTCATAGGCGTGGTCAGGCTATGTGATGCCGCTGCAGGTGGGGGTTGCTGCCATTGACTGCTGGCTGCCTGGTGGATCTGAGCTTGGTTGTGTGCAAGATATGCTTTCAGATGCGCCATAATATTGTCCATGTCGCTGTCGGAATACACACCACAGACTTCAGTCTTCTTGTGATAATATAGGCCCCCACCGGAAGTGAAGTGGCGCCCACAGTGAGCGCAAATGGTTCTGTTAACATCATCCATGAGGAAGATTTTCCTGCATGCCTCCTTTGCACGGTGCTACACCCTGGGTCAGACTTTTTTTTTGGGTACAATGGTTGTATTTCATCACTTACGAATGAGAGAGCTGCCAATCCACTGCATGGCCGCTGGCACTTCTCGCAGTGGACAATTGAGCTGGAGTTAGCCGCAGCGCTGGGAGACGACATGCGTGTGTCGGCCTGGGGAAAATTGGCATGCGCTGGTGGTGGCGCCCCTCCGGGCCACGAGTTCGTCATCCATGGTCGTTGAGGTGTCGGGACGTTTGCTGGTAAGATGACTCCTTGAAGTGAGGGAATGACATGCTCCGGCTTGCCGTTGTTTCTATCCTCCACAATGTCCGAGACGTCATACCCAAGCCGCTCCGCTCTAGCCAGGGCGTTAACCAGGCTTCTTGCCTCAATCGTTTCGAGTCGACGAGCTAGAGCCTTGTCTAGGAACTCTAAGCTGACTTTTGATATGAGGATATCTGCAACGCGATCATAGTCCTCGGTGGTACAGTGTCCTAAAATCTGTGGTAATGAGGCCGTCACCATCTTGCCGCCAAAGTCTTGTACCGCCCTAGATAGAACACTTGACGAGGATTGGTGCAGCATTGTGTTTAACTGGTGAATAGTTAGCTTGCCATGATTTCGAACTGGAATGGAAATGTATCATCGGCATAGCGTTTCCCAGAGAAGATCTTTCAACGCGCCAATAACCCCAACTTACAATAAAGGCAGTGTGAAAGTCCGAACCAAGGAAACAAGGCTGCCAATTGTCTCTCAGCACCTGACGGACAACCTGAGGGTTCGTCTCCTTGATGCGCCTTGCGAGCTGGGAGTAGTCATCCGTCCCTTGCAAATCCATAGCCGAATGGGCATCGCCCTGGTCAGGAGTGACCAACCTGCCCGAGGCCATAGGGGGAGATTTATGAGTAGCTCCAGCCACGGGAGATGGTTGGTGTGACCCAGGAGGAGCTGGGACGCTGGACAGTGTGGGAGATGCATGTGAGCTTGTTGGTTGTGATAACGCCCGAGGTGGCACTGGTGGTGATGGCATTGCTCCTCTGGGACCTGCATGAGGGTGCACAGCATAATGAGGGCCAGGTGGCCCGTTCATCTTGATTCCCGGAACTTGCGAAGCCATTGGAGGCGGAGGGCGGGGAGCTACGCCGGGAGGATTTGCCGCCATCTTTTTATGAATGATGAAGGAGAGATAGTCATAAAAACGGCGAATTTAAGCAACCGTAAGCTCTCTGCGAGAAGGCGCGACCGATCTGCGCCTTGAGTTCCTTCTCTCTGAATTAGAACAGTACAGAGCCGGTGCTATGTTGTTAAGACAAAGTTCGCTTAATCGGGAATACGAAGGGAAACAATCCAACGCATAAACGTTACTCAAGGATAGAAAAGACTGCAAGTATAGTCAACGAGAGTTTGGTTATCTTGAGCGCGTGCTGCCTTCAAGAACGCGCTCCTTCGCGGGCGTGGATGGGGCTAGATAATTTGTCAAATAAAGTGGGAAGGGACGAGGGTGGTTAGCAGATAAAATAAAATTCAATAAATTTCGCCTCATATTTTAGGCCAAAATAACTCATTTGCCCCTCCAATATATAAAACATGATATCATTAATAAGCAATTATATCTAGGCCCTCATCACTTTCGTGTTTTAACTCCACTTTTTATATAAGTGCAACTCAATTTGGTAATCATGCGTGCGAGACTGCTGCCATCCAATGAATGAGGTTTGTTAGTTTCATATTTAATTAA